AATATAGAGATTTGTTGCAGTTATTAAGTGAAGCATACCTCTAAAGTGTGACAGGTGTGACAGGGCCCTAAGGTTCTGCTGAATCAATGGTAGTCTACCATTGATTATAGTAAAGGAAGATGTAGTGTAATTGAGTGTATATAAGTAGATTACATAGTTGCTGAGGATAACTTTAAGGGAGTTGCCATGATTAGTCAGTGATAGGAACAGACATGCTGTGATTGTTTGAAAAAGTCACAGTGAACTACAGTTTGACATATATTTATGTAACTCAACATATGAGAAACATTATTGAAATTAGGAATGTCTACATATCCATTAGGGTTTATATCTAAAAATCAAATATTTTGAAATGCATGAAGAATCTTAGAAAACATTAAGTTAGTTGATTTTCCTATCCATAGATATACAACTCAGTAATTTAAGATTGGTTCCATCACTGAGATTAGCATAGATAGATACAAAGGGTATTCATGCAAGAAATATGTTGGAATCATTCATTTTCCAGTAGAATGACCCTGAAATTAATCTGTGGGATTTATTTAACAGACTTTTTAAGCATAATTTAATTAAACCTATGGTAATAAAGGAATTACAAAAGTTGAGGGTTCTATATCCATAGACCAAGAAGCACCAAAATACTTAAAGGTCTAATTGCACTTAAAGTGGTTGTACAAATTATTGACACTGCAGATAAAGACGAAGCAGAATTGAAGTTAATTATTCTTCTGAAGGAATTAGGGAAAATTAAATACTGTTTTTGATATTGCAGAAAATTAATGACCAGAAACCAACACTTTTCTCTGTACCATTTCTTGTCCATATTCATAATGTCCCAATCAAAATTTGCTTTCTGATCCACTATGACCCTAAGCAGTTGTGGATATGAAAGACAATGAAAATCTATCTCGGAAGTATTTTAATCTTTGTATCTTTTGGTTTTCTTTATTATAAACAGAAATAAAAAAGTGGTAATTTGATTTTAATGAAGTACAAGAAAATGTATTTAAAATACAAAGAATATTTTTTTTCTGTCTAAAGGGATGAGACGAATTTCGAAGATTATTTGAGTGTTGTTTTCTATTTAAAATAGAACATACTAAATGCAATATATTTTAAAAAAACAAATGATTGGGTTTACATTTATTTAATTTTTATTTAGTTTTGGGCTCTTATAGCATCTTATCTATTTGAGCAATATCAGAAATTCTGCCAGGCTGTTGGATGCTGGTAATGTACAAGCCAGCATTATTAATAAGCAAAATAAACTTTTCTTGTAATATCTGGAAAAACCTAAGGCCCTCACAGATCATAAAAGATACATAGTCTCTCCACCGTGTCACGGTTGGTTGTAGATTTAATGACAGAACTGAGACAAAATCCAAAAATACAAGATCCAAAACACCATAAAACGTCAGGGAAAGCTTACATGGTAAACCATAGATAAGGAAGCAACTAAACAACAACAAGGAACCAGCACTTTGTGGCTGCAGAGTTGGTGTGTATATAAGGGGAACGGCACAAAGGATGGGCTAATGAGCTGAATATGGAGCAGGTGTGAATGGAACTAACTTAAAGGAAGCTAAGGGGAAAGGAGACAAACACAAGGGGACAACAGAGAGTAACTAAAGACTGCTTGAATATAATGGAATATAAACCTAAGATCAACAAAACAGAACAACTGATAACAGAAAACTGAAAACTCAGAGTCCCAAAAGGGGAGAACCATAACACACCAACCTTCTGGTACTTCCAGTGATCTTTGTCAACGGAAAGTAAACAGAAACACTACAAAGAGACATTTTGCGGTGGCATTCTTGATCTCGATACCCTTTCAACTGACTGGGGCAGAATGTAAAGTGGCTTTTCTTTATATTCCAACCAGACGATATAGTGTTTCCCTTCACCTCTAACCCAGTGTCCAGGCAAAATCTGGGAAAAGCTAAATTCGTATCAGGAAACATTTTGTTATAATATATATTTCAGTTTCGTTGGTTGAGGTTGGAACATGGAGAGATTGGTCAAATGAGAGCTTTGCTCTTTTGTTCAGCTTTTTACGAACCCTAACAGAATAGAGTAATAGTAAAATAGAAAAAGCCTGATCCGTCCATTCTTCTTGTTCAATTGTGTTGTCACTTGAGAACAAGAAACCAAGAAAATTACACTTCTTTTTTTTTTTTAGGAAGATACTGACCCCGTATTCGGTGGGGGAATTCCACCTTTTTCATGTAAAAACAAATATTTCCTCACATTTAAAAGAGCTGATTCTCATCTAGGTCACTTCATACAGCAGTGGAACTCTCCAGTGAATGCATTTTGCTGTGTTGAACAGTGGATAGTAATTTAAGTTTTGTTGTGTTCGTAACCACCCAGGCTCTCGAGATAATAAAGTGAATCTGTTGTGAAAATGTACCTTGCTGGATTTCTACTTTCTCTATTTAGATATAACCTAGAGAAGTTGTGGTTAAAAATGCACTAAATTCCAAAACAAATTAAGTGAGGGATAAGGCTCTTTAGGAAGGATATAATATATTTTAAAAGTTTTAATATTAGTGTCATTTTGCAGTGCCAATCAACGGAAATTGTAGCACACAGGCTCTGCCTGTCGCCAGTCACCTATAAATTACTAACCCCGATGGAGACATTGCACTACTTCACTGTGGCACTTTGATTATTTCAAGTCCTTGAAATCTTTATTTTTCTCCAGGCACACATTTATTTTTTTACTTCTGCGTATGGAGATTATCCCTTGTTGCTCATTTATGTCTGGAAAATGTGTGCCATTAAAAACCTACACCAACAAGGTCAGAGTCTGGTAAGAGAGAAATAATGGCTCCTTCTGCATGAATTAATAGATGGACTGACAAGTTTATGGGAGAAATCAGATGCTGGTCTAATTCCTCACAAGACACAGCTGCTCAGCTCCGCCCTTTTCTTATTACCACTCATCTGATCCACCTGCACCTAACCAGCCTTCAGACCAGACATCAGTGTGAGATTATTTCAAGACATTGATGATATTTATTCCAGAATTCTGTTCCTGACTTCCTTCCTGCCTGCCTGTTTGCCTGACCTGTTCTGTCTCTTGATACCCGAGCCTGTCTGACACCTGCCTGATCTGACAGGCTGCCTGTTTGACTGACCTGTTCTTGCTCCAGATTATCTGAGTGAGCCTGACCCCTGTCAGATCTGTAAGAATGCCTGTCACTGGACCTGGATTTGTACCCTGACTCTGCCTTGGATTTTCCCCTTGGATTCTCTCTGAACCTCGGATCATCCAGCTCTTACCCTGGATCTTCTCTCTGACTGTGGATTCTGGAAATTCCCCCTGAACCTCTTGCCAGTTGTCCTAATGGTTCTGATCCCACGTCTGTCTCCTGACCACTGAGTACCAACTAGAGCCCATCTCAGGGTTCCCTTGATTTGCCTATAAACCAGCTGGAGTCAGTGTTTACTCTTCCCATCAGACCCTGGACTGTGAGAAGAGGTTCCTGCCAGAGATGCTGACAATAACCCCACGACCTTCTGCAGTTTACCCTTTAATAGACCGTCTTAAAACGTAATCTGTTGGATCTGGCTGAATTCTGGGTCCATATTCTCTGAACGTAACAGATGTTTGAAAATTAGAGGGATTATTCCTTGAAAAAAATTATTGCACGGCAGACAAATGGATGGGTAAAGGACAGATAAATGAACAATTGAATTATAGACAACATGAGCTCTAGATTTAAATGATAAATACACAGATTGATGGATACATAATAGACAGGTGTTTAAAAAATGGATGATTAATGTAGCTAAGTAATTGATAAATAATTGACAAAATCCAACCAATCAACCAACCGGTTCTCTGATTAACAGATAATTGATGAATGGAGGAATATAAATGAACAGGATGTGGATGGTTGGACAAACCGATAAGGGTTATTGAATATAAAAAATTATGTATTAACAAATAATCAATGGAGGGGTATGTGGAATACCAACACAGGGATGGATGGATGACAAATATGTATTATTTAATGCATGAACAGATGAAGAATGGTGGATGGCCGTCACTCTAATAAACAGACAAACCGACTCCTCCATTTGTCTCTGAACCGTCCTTTGACAATTATATTGATGGGTCTTTTTATTGATGGAAAAATAAACAAATATTAAATGGTCAGCTAACGAACGGATGTACCACTGAATGGATGACTAGATGCATAATCAAGGAACAGATGGATTGATGGATGTATACTGGCCAAATGGATCAATAAATGGATTGATGAATTTCACATACTTGTTAATGCTCAAATATATTTGTTCAATCTTTATCAAACCTGAAAAAAAAAGATTCTGACTTTTTTAATCTCGTGAGCCTGTGATACCAATATATTTCTATCTTTGTGGCATTAAGTGACGCTAATGCAGAAACACTTAAGGACTATATTAATGACCATCATTCTACCTAGGAGAGCTCGTCATTGATAGATGAGCTTAACTGAGGTGCAGCACAGATTAATTAATGGGGATGATGATGCTCTTGCTTCTTTCTAACACCATCACAGATGTTGGGCATGGCCTGTCAGTCATTATTTAGACTGACCTTGATATTGTAACGCAGTGACTCTAAAACCACATTGCTTCATGCCCTCCATCTCCTGCCTCTTAAATTTATGGACACAGTCTCTCATCATTTGAGTCACTGGAGCACCCACTGTGCCGTTACAATTCTCCATTACTGTCAGTCATTGAAAAAACGTTCAGTTACACATCCCACAATGGGGCCATAATGTTCTGTCAGTGCTGATTCATAGAAGTGGACACTTTCCCCTTAACTCTCCTTTTATTTCTCTCCTCCTCCTGGTGCAACTTCTATCTCTCCC